GGGTGGGGGGGGGGGGGGGGGGGGGGGGGGGGGGGGGGGGGGGGGGGGGGGGGGGGGGGGGGGGGGGGGGGGGGGGGGGGGGGGGGGGGGGGGGGGGGGGGGGGGGGGGGGTGGGGGGGGGGGGGGGGGGGGGGGGGGGGGGGGGGGGGGGGGGGGGGGGGGGGGGGGGGGGGGGGGGGGGGGGGGGGGGGGGGGGGGGGGGGGGGGGGGGGGGGGGGGGGGGGGGGGGGGGGGGGGGGGGGGGGGGGGGGGGGGGGGGGGGGGGGGGGGGTGGGGGGGGGGGGGGGGGGGGGGGGGGGGGGGGGGGGGGGGGGGGGGGGGGGGGGGGGGGGGGGGGGGGTGGGGGGGGGGGGGGGGGGGGGGGGGGGGGGGGGGGGGGGGGGGGGGGGGGGGGGGGGGGGGGGGGGGGGGGGGGGGGGGGGGGGGGGGGGGGGTGGGGGGGGGGGGGGGGGGGGGGGGGGGGGGGGGGGGGGGGGGGGTGGGGGGGGGGGGGGGGGGGGGGGGGGGGGGGGGGGGGGGGGGGGGGGGGTGGAGAGAGAGAGAAGAAATAAATAGTCATATTCTATATATGAATATCTTTATAACAAAATAACTTACAATTTAAATCTCAAAAGATAAACAAAATGACTTTTGTATTCGTAGTTGAGATCGCTTCAAATTTTATTTTAAGTTAATCTAACGGCTAATATTAACACCTTAAATTTTATATATAAAAATAGACCCTTAATGGTGTATTTGAAATGACTTTTAAAAAGCACTTTTAAAAATTATTTCTCATATATACTTTAAAAAAAAATAGTGTTTGAAACCACCCCCATCACTACTTCTACTACCACCGCCGCCACCACTACCATCGTCGTCGCCGCCCCCGCCTCCACCATCGTCGTTGCCACCACCATTGCCGCCGCCCTCGCCGCCACGGTCATTGCCACCTACCACAACCATCACTGTTTCCTACCACCACCACCACCACTATAACCCACCACCTCTTATCCCCAATATAAGCTGATGTTTAAATTCATTGATCTCTTCTTTATGTTTGCGATTTGCTTTTGAATATGAATACAAATATATTTATTATTTACCATTTTTATTATACTGTGCCTTCAGGCACAGGTAATATCTAGTAAATAAATATGAGAAACAAAATTTTAATATTAGTCAAATTCTTAAAATTTAGGAGTTGTTAGTTTTTAAATTTATTTTAATTAAATATAACTAATTATGGTATTTTGGATAATGAAGATCAAAATGGATCAAATATTAAACAAGTTCCCTTGATGGACTTATCACCAAATAAGTCCACAAAGAGGGATCGTCCTTCAAAATTTTTATTTATATAAACATTCATAGCCCATTACCTAAACCCATATAGAGGTATTCAAGTAAACTACCTTTATATAGATAATTACTATCAGCTCTATAAAAAAAAGAGGCCTAAGGGAAGGCCAAGAAAATGAATAAGAAAAGCTAAAGAGGAGAAGCCAATGAATAAGGAAGATAAAGAAAACTTTGCCCGAGTTCATATTAGAAGGAGAAACGAAGGTCAGTAATGAAGCTTTGCCAAAGTCTACCTCCAATTGAAGTGTTGGAAATCCATCTCTAAAGAGAGAGCACACCACCAATGTCTTTCTTCAAAAAACTCAAATCAATTTTAAGTTGATCAATACAAAGAACGGAGAGATAATCCACCAAAGTCAACACTAAATCGAAAATTGAAAAATAACACTAATCTAGTTCTTTTTTCACCAAATCCATCAAAACATCATCAAATCAAAGATTGAAAATCATGCTGATCCAATCCTCATTTTCATCAAATATACCAAAGTCAACACTAAATCAATGATCAAGAATCACACCAACTCGACTCTCATATCATCAAATACATCAAAATCACCATCAAATTGAAGATCGAGAATCAGACTGATCCAACCCTCGTCTTCACCAAATTCATCAAGTCACAATCAAATTTATCAAAGTCACCACCAATTAAAGATCAAAAACTACATAGATTCGGCCCTCGTCTTTACTAAAATTATCAAGAATCAAAGGATTGTGCCCATGGAAAGTACACCAAAGAGAGTCAATACTATTTTTCTATTCAAAAGTCAAATAATCAAATGATTGTAATTTGACAATATTTTTTGTATAATCTTACACGCAAAATTTGTCACCATAGATTTGGGACACTATCTTCCTTTCATCTCTCTAATAAAAAAATTCAGCTAGTCGAACAATAATTGTAACCAAAGACATCCTGATTCATCCCATAGGCAAGTCGGCAGATGTGGTTCAGAAGTCATTCCCAATAACCTGTGCTAGAGCAAAGGTAGACAAATCTCAACTTTTACCACCAATCGAGCACCACTCCAAACAATGGAAAAAATAGTTTTTTTTCACCCAAAAAGAAACAACATGTCCATTCTTCCATTGATCTGGAGGAAGAAACAGATGATTCTCTGTTCAACATATACTTTAGCACAAACTCAAGGACTAAATCCTACTCCAAAACTTCTCCTAAGTAGAAGTGGAGAGATTATTCGTTTGCCTCCGATATGACTATTCCTATCATGGTGATGGAAGTCACTTCATTTAAAGATCGTTTTCAATAACTCATTGATACAATCGAGAGGTGAAACAAAGCCCTTGATAGTAAAGAGATGCAAATTGCTGCGTTCATGGACCGACATGAATTATAAGAACCTTCAAAAGGGAACAATCAAGAAACTTCAAACCCATATGACACCAAAACATCAAAAAATACAAAAATTTTTAGAACATCTACAGAAGCAAAAACAACATGACCGAGCCATGACACAAAACGCCATTTCAAGGAAATGTCGCAAAATGATTGAAAATATAAACTTGCATGGTATATACATACATACCCACACACTCCCATAAATATATATACATAGAGAAGAGTTGCTCGTTTGGAGAACGCAACGTGCAAATGAGAGTCATTTCTATCATTATAATTTATCTAAAGTTACAATTAAGAAGTTGAATTCTCAACTTATAAAAACACAAATACGATCAGGATTGATCTAATGGTACAAAATTTATCTCTATTTTTTTTCTTACTAAAAAATTCATATTCTCTACACATCCTCCAATGTTAATCTACCTCATTAATTCACACTGTCTCTCTCTTCTCTCTTTCCTCTGCCGTACCTCTCTCTTATTTGTTCTTTGTTCACTTTAAATTTAAATAAAAAAATTAATGAAAAAAAGAGAAAATATAAATTATTATTTAAAATATAACTATTATATGATTAATGCTCAATTTTTTATATTGTAAAGTGTCTTCAAGTATAGAATTATTGCTAGTATATGATATAAGAGGAATTGAACGTTACACTATTTTCAACAATATAAGAACACATATGTACTATTGCATAGATCTGTGCTCAATTTTTTGATGGCAAGAATATATCATACCATTAGTAACTATTTATCAATATGCATGCTATGTGTATGCAAACATAATCAAAATCTAATTTACAAAAAGATATGAGTAGTGCAGAAACTTCACATTTCCCTATAGTCAAACACCTAAACTTATGGCATACCTAAGAAAAAAAAAACTCATGAACTTATGAAAATGACTATATATAGTACCGAGAAGTTTTTTCAGTATTGTACCAAAAAAATACTATTGTTAAGAGTCAAGTTATACCTTCTAAAGAATAAATTATAATTTTTTATGATTGATTATAACATTGTGATCGGTAATGAATAACCTCAAACAATTAGTTATAAATTTACTTATAAAAGGTGCAACTTGATTTTAAAAGATTTATTTTTGGTGATGATCACCAAGTTATAATCAATAACAATTTTTTTTAGTTATAATTTAGAGTCTTTTGAGTTGTAACTTATGTTGAAGCTTAAATATGCACCATCTACAATAATTTAAATTTTTGAGTACATAATTTTTTAACACAATATTAAAGCATGAGGCTTTGTGTTTGAATAACTCCATCACTTGAATATATTAAAAAATTCACACGTGCTAGGCTCAAAATGCAGCTCCCACAAGAGGTGTGTGTTGGGCCTTTGTAGAATTTAGTTTGTGTGTTGATTCGGATGATGATTCGATCCAAAATAATGTTGTGTTGTTTTAATGAGAAATTTTCTGAAGCCTCCGCTCAATGGACAAGCCTCATGAGGGTTTGGGAGCAATGCTCCTGAGAAAAATTTTTTTGGCCTGTTTTGTAGCCCGGTGCACAAGACATATAAAAAAAACCTGTTACTTTGATGATTAGGGTTTGAGAAAAATTGTAAAGCCGCCCTCTGTATTTCTCATTCTCGAAATAGTGAAATCCCTACAACTTCGTGGACGTATGCAAATTGTCGAACCATGTAAAATCTGTATATCTTATTCTTTTTGTTTCTTATTGCTTTATGTTCTTTTTGCTTTTTGATTGTGTGTTTATATGTGAGTTTAAAACATATTAAATCCCAGCAGTGTGTTGAATTAAAAATATTTAAATTACACTAGTATATATTTTTATAATAGATGATTGTTTAATGAGTAACATCTTCAAAATTTTTTAACTTGACCGGCTATTGCTTATACTTGGGCAACATTCTGATTGAGAAACTTAAATGTGATCCATTTTTTTTGTATTAATCTCTCTATATCAAATTCACACATGTAATAAGACGCAAATGGGTATACAAGGAAGAATATTACAAAGTTGATGTTTTATTAGTGGTACAAATACCAAAATTTGTCATTATCCAGTATGCTAAATACTAAAATCACATATAAGAATTTCAACCTCTTTCACTCCGATTAGAGATATACTATGTTTTGTTTTATCAGATAGTCTCTCTCTCTCTCTCTCTCTCTCTCTCTCTCTCTCTGACTGCCACGGGCAATACATTTTGGTGGTCATGAAGCCCTTTGTTTTCTATATATAGGTTCTACCAACACTTTTATAGGCATCAACACATTCATATTTCTTTCTTTCCTATTCTTTGGGAGAAAAAGCATGGAGGCCTTCTTTACATATCTGCTGCCTTTTGCAGTCCTCTCTGTAATACTCTCTCTCCTCTTCCTAAATCGAAAACGGAATTCGAGTGGCTTAAACCTTCCACCAGGTTCGAGTGGATGGCCAATGGTTGGGGAAAATATGGAGTTTGTTCTACAAGGGCCACAAAAATTTGTGTACGAGAGGATGAACAAATACTCGCCCGAAGTGTTTCAAACATGTTTGTTGGGAGAGAAATTGGCAGTGTTTTGTGGGGCGCCAGGGAACAAGTTTTTGTTCATGAATGACAGCAAACTTCTCACTTCGTGGTGGCCACAATCGATGAAAAAGCTTTGCTATTCCCAGAGTATGCTGACAATTCTGTGAAGGAAGTTGGAGCTCTACAACGTAGTTTTCTTCATGAAATTCTTAAGCCTGAAGCCCTTAAACAGTACATACCACTAATGGACGCCATGGCACGTGAACACGTTGAGACTGAATGGGCTCCTTGTGAAGAAGTTAAGGTTTTCCCTTTGTCGAAGAAGTACACTTTTGCACTAGCCTGCAAATTGTTTATGAGTGTGGAAGATCCTGACCATGTGAAAAGATTGGCAGATCCCTTTACTCTTGTTACTTCCGGGATGTTCTCAGTACCTATAGACTTACCTGGCACGGCCTATAATCGTGCTATCAAAGGGGGAAAAATGGTTCGCGAAGAGCTCCTAAAGATCATCAGGGCGAGAAGAAATGAACTAATGGAGAGCAAAGAGACATCAGATCGGGATCTATTGTCTCGTATGCTACTCATAACAGATGAACAAGGACAGTTCATGAATGAAATGGAAATTTCTAATAACATCATAGGTTTACTTGTTGCAAGCTATGAAACCACGAGTACTGCAGTCACATTCGTTTTGAAGTATCTTGCAGAGCTTCCCCATATTTACTCTGAGGTGTATAAAGGTAATAAATACTTCAAAACCTCGATTTAGTTTCTTCTTGATCATAAGTGTATACTAGGTTTATGGTTCAATACCACTAACAATTGGTTTTTTTTAAATTGATTTGGCCTTTTTCTAACAGAACAAATGGAGATTGCTAAGTCCAAAGGTCCAGATGAGTTGTTAACTTGGGAAGATATTCAAAAGATGAAGTATTCTTGGAATGTGGCTTGTGAAGCACTGAGACTATCACCACCTGCTCAAGGAGCCTTTAGAGAGGCTATAACTGACTT